TGAGAAACTTCTCAACTACAACAGTACACTCTCCAAACTCTATAAATCTATATGCTGTGTTTCTTTCGACTCGGACGCTATTCTCTTTTCCGATATATTTACTGGTAACACGCGTACTTTTTCCTTGCAGCTCTGGAAAAATCAGACAACAGTTGAAAGAAGATGCAAATCTTGCTGAAAGAGTTTTCCCTCGTCAGAGGCTTCTATATATATTATGTTGGGAAAAACCTTTGTGTTTGTGGTGTAGAACCTTTAGTTTAGTTCTTAATCATATGGGGTTTTCATGGATGTTAATGTCTTAATGATATACTGTCCTATGAATTTAATTTGAGAACCTTGTGTGATCCAATCCAATCTTTTTTTTTCTTTTTTTGGTCAACCCAATCTTATGATTTGCCTTTTGAGGAAAACATTATTCGCACCAAAGGTTAAAAAAAAAATGTATAACCAAAGAAGAATGAAGAACACAATGTAACCATATATGGGTTATGTAATCCAACCCCATCCTTAAGGGAAACATATCACCTTCAAATCTCCCATAACAATCCCCCAAACATCATGAGATGCGTTTGAGAAATTAAGAGATCCAATTAGTTGGAACTAAAACCAATTTCGAAACAACAAACGAACAATGACTCAGTAGCCGTTGATCTGTCTTGATGTTGTCGATCCTACCAACCGAGAGAATGGTTGTTGCTGTGTTTGGTTGTTGCGGCTTGTGTTAAGACTGTTGCTTCCAGATTTAGGGTTAGAGAAAGGTGAATAGGCTTGAGCTAGCTCAAGGGCGGAAGCTGCTTTCCCGTGGCGAATCCCCATTCCATCTGGTGATTCGGGTTTCTGCAAAACCGGTTTTCGCCATGTCTCTGGTGATGGATGTCTCGTCTTCTCCTGAGTCTGCTGTTGTTGTCTTGAGCTCTTGATATCATTTTCACGCCAGTTTCTCCTCTGGTTTTCGGATCTGCCAATATCGCTTACGCTTCTCCCGTCCTTTGGGTCGAATTTCCTCGTTCTCAGGTCACGAGGAGAGCTCAATGGCCTTTGAACTGCATGCTCTGGAACTCTTTCAATGGGTTTGAGGACCATCCTTTTCGATATAAAAGAAAAACATAAAAAGAACTTAGAATTAGATTGATAGTTGATCTCAATGGAATCGTAAGAGTTGGATCCCAGAAAGTATCCACGGAAAGTGAGCGGCTAGAGGACACCCGTTCTACCTGTCTAAGGGTTGCTCCAATTTGTGATGCTCAGTCTCATCAATGCCTCGCTCTTTCAACACCTAGTCGCAAAGTAGAAGTTAAGATTAGGTCGCAAAACTAAATGACTCAACATATCCTGATGCTGAACAAACGGGTAACATAACAAGGGAGAGTTACACAACAATATGAAACAAATGGCACTCACCAGCTCTCGTGGTCTGGCACCACCAAAAACCGCATTTCTGCACAACGAACCAGAAAACATAAGCATGTTGGACACACAATACATACTTATCGTCAGGAAGGCGGTCTAGTTGATATGCAAGAGAAGTAAATGATAAAAAAAAAAAACATAAGCTACTGAAATAAGTAATAACTATGAACTAAATTCAATGTTCCAGCATATTCTACCAACTCGGACTTCTGAAGAAAGTTTGACACAACGCCAATATCTTTCCAAAACATATTCTACCATCTATTTCAATTTGAATAGAAACTAAAACATGTCACGACTGCATAATCCTTTCAGTATCTGCCATCAGCCAGAAGTCATTTTGAGAAAGTGAGTACTTCTTTTGTATCACTACCTAATGTCCTCAAGCTCCAAAATAATTATTACTGAGCTGGGACTATAAATGTAAGAACCACCATAGCTTTTAAACCTTGAAAATCCTTACCTTTCCTTTTCAGTCGTAACTTCAGGCTGCTCGAGCAACTGTGCCACAGGCTTCAGATACAACTTGGGGCGCTCAACCGGCTGGTTGGAAATCTCATCTGCAGACAAACCAGGTTTTGAATTGTTCATACTTTTCTGTGTTGCATAACCAGTTTCACGCTGAACAAGATTTGAAGCACCATTTTCCTGCAGATATAGAGTTGAGCCATCAGAAAACACAGTTTGACCAAGAACCTGAAAACCAAAGAGGCAGCTCAAAAACTTATAACTAGTACCAGTTTTGCATCATTCACAGGTTTCTCAACAACGCTTTCAAGAGGTTTTGTCCGAGGCAGCAGGTTTAGCTTAGGTCGTTCCACGACTTCAGAAGGAGCAGTTGGTTGCACCAAATGTCCCGCAGGCCTAACGTCAGAATAATTTGGATGAGGCTTATTGGTGCTGTTTGCTACAACTTTCGCTTCCTTAACATCCAAATAAGTTGGACCAGGGATTTTTTCATACTCACGGGAGAATTTTTTCCCACCCTGGATCCCATCTTCAGCGACAAGACCTCGTTCTACACGCATTCCATGTGGCTCATCCCCTTGATTAAGCACAGGGCTATTCGTCTTATAACCTCTGCTCTCTATCTCTGAATGCTTAACAACATCAAGACCCATCTGAGAAGGACCCAAAAGCTTGGACTGCCATCTTACTGAAGACACCTGCTCAAGCGCACCTGGATGGACCAAATTCGAAACAGCTGGTTGTGTAGTCCATGGAGACTGTCCCGACTCATTGTTAGTCACTGAGACCTCCTTCCTCGCACTCCAAATATTAGCGTGAGTTCCCGACACTGAGTTCTCACCATTATTAGTTCCAGTCAAAGAATGAGTCACATCATTAATCTTCCCAGGGAAAGGACCAGCCGCACCTGACCAACCACTATGTCTCCCACCAGTCAAGACCGAGTCTGCTTTCACTTCCAGACGGCTATTTGCAACCCGGAAAACATCATCACTGACCATTCTACGAGGAGCCGAGTGACCGTCCAGAGGCTTCCGTTCATCCTCGTTGAAATTACGACCAATATTCGCGGTGTGAGGCAGAAACAGTGATTTATCATCGAAATTTCTTATAGTATGAGACGAACTCGGCCTTGTCCTCTGATCTGGTCGACCGATTGAAGTTCCCCAAGGCGCTCTATCAAACACAGGTCGATCCGTAGTAATCTTCGGAATCCTACAAATGGACAATTGATCAAAAGACACGACGATGTCAAATCACATACGCTTTTCAGATAATAATGATAGACCTAATCAATCAGAAAACAAGAATTTCGATGTAGATCTAATAGCCCTATGAATAACATCACTCGAATCTCTCAAACCAAAGCAATGATTCGATTGATCTCCGATGAGCACACCCAACTAAGACGCCGATCCAAAGGAAGAGAAGATTTATACGAATCAATGGAAACTTACACTCCTGGAGCGGAAGGGAGAGGGAGATCAGATGGTATAGAGCCGCCATGGAAGTCCTTAAGCGTCATAGTGCTACCAGCCGCTTTCTTCTTCGACATCGTTACGCAACTTTTATCTCTCCTATCGCTTATTTCCCCCTCTCTTCTCCGATTGAGATTTGAGTTTTCCGGCGCCGGAGACGGGAAGAAGAAGAGATCAC